TTCATTCTGAAGGACCTTATTGAAGTTCAGGAAAGAAAAAGAAAATCGTTATCCTGTATTCACGTCTTCCACCATAAGTGAAATTAGGCAATTTCCCGTCGTACTGCCGGAGTCGTGCGACTATGGCAAAGAAATGTACAAAAAAGCGTGATGCACGTGAAAATTTGTTGTTTTGCTAATCCAAACCTAGTGCTTTTTGTCATTCTCCTTGCCGTCGCTGTCGTCGTTGCTTACGCTGACGCGTTTCACAGTTATATGAAAGCCGGGGACCTGTATCCAAGATTTTAACCTATCCTGGCATTGTCGGTTAGTGCACTGCCTTTTGTGCGGAAGGCTTCGATTTCCAATCCCAGGTTTGACCTCAAATCCTTGTTTCGAATTCTTTCCTTTCTGTGTAGCTTTAATTAGCTCTAAATACGGGTAACACGAGGATTGATGGACAGAGGGGAGTAAAAATGAGCGCACCGTCGGCCTCAGGTTTTTCAGTCTATAGGTACGGTAAAACGGGCAATGGAAACGTGCAACTTGTTTTGCAACATTGCTGTAAAATGAGTTGAATAGCGATGTTGCGCATTTTACCACCGACGTTCAAACCGGACTTGCAACAAGTCAGGTTGTAGCAGGTTGCGAAAAGTTGTTGCACAAAGTAAAGAGCAGTTCTACTTTTTGCAACAAAATCTGTACATGTTGCGCGTTTTACCCACCTAAGACAAACTTGTCTTGCAGAAAGTGACGTAAATCCCGTGTATGACGTGACTCCCGCGTAAATGTATCCAATCAGAGGTTAGTATTCACGCAATTTGCAGCAATCAGGTTCGTACGTGGGTGGAGAAAGGCGCACGCCTTTCAACACGTTCGGAGCAATGTTACAAAACAAGTTGCGCATTTCTGTTGCCCGTTTAACCGTAGCTTTAGTACTGTTACGAGTTGCCGACATAAAGTAAAGGCCTTTACCTTTTTCCATTTCCAGACTTAGCTATTTTCAATTATTTCTCTTCTCCGCAGTGTACACAACACTCTTTATCTGGAGGTACATTGTCCAGCTGTCCGGCCCCATTTGGTAGTGGTCTCAGATTGTGGAAGACCCATTTTAGACTACGCCAATGTGTCCCTTGGTAAGAAGGACCGCACAAAGTTGTTAGTGCACAGAGAGCCCACTTAACAAATCGACAACAATCTTTCATGGTCTATACTCTTATCGACGAGAGAAATGAAGTTAAAATGTTCAAAACTCAAGTGAAACTTCATTGCAAAGTTTTGAACATTTTACCAGCGTCATTCCTTTGGTTCATAAGGATACAGTCCATGGAGAACTGTTAACGTCCATTTCCGTCGAAGTTTCAGGGAAAATCGTGTGTGATAAAGAAGAAACAAATTGTACCACTATTATGTCGTTTTCATGATAGCATAGCTCTCGACCAATCGGCACGCGAGAAATCACTCAGTTATTGTTAAAAAGCTGTTTGAATGTTTAAACTCAAGGGGAAAAGGGACAGACTTGTATTATCCTGGTTCCGTGTACAGATAAGCTCTGTCATAGACATGCCGACTTAAGACGTTATGTTCACTTCTTCCCTTTACAAAGCCTCACTGAAGCAGCTCACTCCTTTGTTGATGGTCCTCACAGGAGTGAAAAGATGAAAGTAACCTTGGAGCTAAGCTATATGGCCAGATTGATCTATAACGAATCCCATAATGCATCTCAACTTAAAGACGCTCGACCTCAGCCTTTTGTTCACCCAAGTTAACATCAGGCCCGGGTTTTTCAAACGTAGGATAGCATTATCCATGGGATAAATCACTATCTAGTGGATAAGTATAGCGATTTATCCAGTGGATAGCGCTATCCACCTTTTGAACAACTGGGACCAGTGGTAGCTGTTTGGAACTTATATTAGTGTAACTTCATTATCATCATCATAATTCCCCTCTCCAGAAACTACAAGGGGAACGAGTACAAAATTTCGGCGCAACGATTCCTGGGATCGTGTAGGTGGACAAGCGTTAATTATGATTGGTCGATGGTATTCAAGGCAACCATTAAACCAGTCATAAGTAAAGCTTGTTCACCCAAACCATCCTAGAAATCGTTGCACCGAAAGCTTGTGCCCATTCTTTTTATAGTTTCTGGAGTGGGGAATTATTCTCTATTTTCGAATACCCCATGATACACTCTGTTTGCCCGCCAAATTTCGCATAAAGTATTGTTTTCAAATGCTCCTGGGAGGACTGCATATTCCCTAGAGCATGTGAAAACAATAACTTATGCGAAATTTGGGGGACAAACATAGTGTATTATGGGAGATTCAAAAATAATCAATTGTTCCTGATTGTTCTCGACAGGTCAATCAGAGGTGAAATCTTTCACGATACAAAATATTTCCGACGAACCTCTGAAGGTGAGCTGGCTTATTTTTTGACCTCTGTTTCGCTTTACAGTCATTTCGCCCCGGTTAATTACCCCCCTATTTTAGAACGAGGAATTAATATTATATTTGAAGCTTGCTTGTTTTGGTTTATGGCTTAAAGAACGAGAAATAGTACATTTGAAGCGCGCTTGGTTTGCTTTATGGCTTAAAGAACGAGGAATATTACATTTGAAAAGCGCTCAATGACTCAAAAATAGGGGGCTAAGTAACTGGGGCGAAATTACCTCTGCTTCTGTTTACCATTCAAATCTCAAGAGTGATCAACATCAAGTTTCTCCTCACAATATCAACACATCATCAAGAGAAAAGGTTGTGAGAATTCACGAAATGATCACCAAAGGGAAATTGCTTCGATCTTTTTTCAAGTTCACTCAACTAATTCTAAAGGAAATGTATAGAGATCAATCTGGAGAATTTGTATGTGGTTACTGGAGCTTAAGGCGGCTTACTACAGTTTATTTTTTCCAATAACAGTGTGCGCGACGCGCGCGCCAGGTAAGCTGCGCAAGATCTCTCACGCATACAAAACTCGCGCGAGACAAGAAAAACCCCGAGATCAAACCTTCCGAAAAAAATTCCCTATTATTCTGGGGTTTCTCAAGAAGTACCTTTGTAGCAAACTTTTTAGATATTTAGGTTATTTAGTAAGCCACCTTAAAGGGTTCGTAGAATCCAAGATAATCCAACTTTTATCTTTCCTCTCGTCTTACAGCTAAGTTCATCGTTACTAGACCCCCACGGTCCGTTCCAGATGCTTAACGCGCTAAGGGTCTTGGAACCACAGGCAACTCACAATGTGGTTGTATCGTTTGGTCCTAACGCACCTAAAGAGGTAGGAGAATTGCTAAATGTACACGTTTTTATCAAGTACTGCGCTTTATATTAATAAATGATCTTGCAGTGAGTATACTCTTTATTCCAAAGTGGTGTCATATTTAGCTATATGTTTGTTAGCGTAATAATTGGCGTTCAATGCCTCGTTTGAAGGTAAAAGTTTTTTTTAATTCCGCAGGTGCAATCAAGGAATAAGCAATAGTTTCTCTGTGCGGATTGTGCGGTCTTAAAATGACCGAACACTTAATACTGAACAATACACGACTCACTGCTAATTGCTGCACAAATACTTTAAGTGTTGCATCAGTTGGTCAGTTAGATGGCCGGTCTGCAAATGTCGTCTTAGTAGATTAAACAAGAAACTTATTTGTAGTAAACTCTTCCTTATCCCTATCGAACTTGATGAACTATAAAAGCAGTAAATGCTTTTTGTAACTGTACCTGAGCTTCTGTCTATTTTCTTAGTTCCATGAAGTTCTGGAGGTGCGGTGTCCCCGGAATACTCTCTACATCAGACTTAAAGGCAGGGGGGTACGGCCTGTCATATCTTTGTCTGTAGAGGATGGTGTTCTGGATTTAGGAGACGCTTTAGTTGGAGACACTATTTCATCCTCTTTCAAGGTAAGTGAAGAATGTTTTAAAAGTGTCTGTTGTCAAGTTAACGGAAGACTTTTCCTGGCAACGAGTGACGTTGCGTTAAATTGTGGGTATCAGTTGCGTTTCAAACAGAAGTTATTCACAACAAAATTTTAAATTTGGAGAATGTTGCCGTCGCTTTCAACTTTGTACAGTAGAAAAATTTTTTAGTCGAGCGCATAGACGGAAATGCGCGCAAAATGGGTTCAAACTGGTGATAAAACTTTTGCCTTGTGTAAGGTCACCAAAGCTAAGCAACCAAATGACTGAAAAAGGGGATTTACCTTGCAGCACACTTTTCTTTTACTGTTGTGTCATTTTCCTGTTTTCTCTTTGCAGATTTCCAACACATCAGAGCTGTCAATCAATTACTCACTCAAGCTTGACAGCTTGTCTCCATTACGTCACAGCCGAGCACAAATATTACCCAGGTTCCTCCCGCCATTCAACGATATGACTGAAACGCAACAGCATGTGCTAGGTGTGGACTGGAACTGAATTGTGTTTCATCTTGTTTCAAACAGTAGATTGATGATATTGAACCTGGTTTATGTTTTCTTCCATCAGGTCCGTCGAATTACAACGGCATGGCAGTGTTTGATTGCGTACCTGCTAAAGGTGTGATTGGCCCTGGTAAGCCATATTCCAAACTGTGTGCGATAAATCAACCGCAGCAGACTGACATCAAGAAACAACAGTTTTTTTAAAAATTTTATTTTAAAGGAATTTGTCCCTGTACGGCTTAAACTAGCTGCTTTGGTCCAGAGAAGTTATTTGAAGTAACAATCGTATGAAAACCATCCGCGACAACAGATGTACTTGTAGATGCGGTTTATTTGATCATGGTTATTTTGAATACAGAGCTGTGGAACCACGGCAAAAGCGGCCTGTTTTTTGGTCAAAAGTATTTAAATGCTTTTGTTACCCTTGTAAGTTTCTCCGACGAAAAGTGAGTTCGTTAAAGAAGAAACAACCACAGGCACTTTGTGACAATTTTCTGTCACACGGGAAGATGTCTGTATAATGTGCAGTTTATTTAAATCCTGCCCCTTTGCAAATTGCTTGCCACTGCACACTCGATCGTCGCTGTCATCAAGTTGAACTGCCCACCCACTCGTCCCTTACCCCAACATTTTGCCCCTGAATAAGAAGTCTGAAGCTTATTTTAACTTTAGGCTAGAGGGGAGGGGTAGGAGGGTGGATTCCCAAAATCTTGTACTGATTCCAACTATAAGCAAAGTTTGTTGTAACCCGAAATATCAGAAATTATTTTTTTAAAACGCTCAGTTTATTGTGTTTTATTGAAGTCTGCATCAATACCGTTTGTCCTTTTGTCATTGCAGGGGAGTCAAAGGAGATCACAATATCATTTAACCCCGACCACGCCAGCGAGCTTTATGCTGATGAAGTTGCTGTTGAAATTAACAGCGGGGTAAGTAGAATAATTTAGTGAGTGCTGAGAACGGAAGAACTCTAAGAATTCTTGGGAAGGAGAGTGAGATGAACCATGAATCAAAAAAAAGTTTTTGACTCGGCGAGGTTTGCATTTGATCTGCCGGCGCTATGAGCAACGGGGCCAATCGGAAGCAGGCCGGGAGCATTGAATTATCGTTTCCCACCTACCCCTCCCCTAAGCCAACATTAACACTTACTTCTCACTTAGGACAAAATGTTTGCTTAGGGGAGGGGTAGGTGGGCAGTTTTTCAGAAACGTATAATTATTATCAGTGTCGCGGCGGTGTGGAAACACTGTGTGAATTAACTGTATAAGGGCCTAGCACTCTTAGGAAGTGAAGTTTAAGGTAAATTGTGTTTTATTGTACGCGCTGAGAAGCGAGAAACTTGCCCTTCGGGTCCCGGTAGTTAAAACGTTGGATAGCGCTCTTCAACGGATAAATCATTATCCAGCGGATAAGTATTAGGGCAACCAACTGCGTTATCCACCGGATAGAGATTTATCCAGAGGATAGCGTTATCCATCTTTTGAACAACTGGGGCCTGAAGTGCAAGTGCTAGTAAGGAAAGTTAGATATAAACCAGGAATAAGTTAAATACATTGTATAAGTGTTAATTTCTCTTTTATCTACATAATGAAGTATTAATTAACTATTTGTACAATTAGCCAATTCAGAAATTGCGCAGCTGTTTTTTGGCTGTAACGTATATAATTGTGAAATGTAGATAAGTGTAAGTATTTAATACTTTTCCCTTTGTCTCTCCTTCTGTTATTACGGTTGTTTAGAATTTTGTAATTAGTTTCTTTTTAATTAGTTCTTTGTAATTAGAGTAATAAATCTCTTGAATGAAAAAAAAGTTGAATATATGTTTTTCAGGTGGCAGGTGCATACAAGGATTAATCGGGAGAAACTGTTCATTATAGTGCTAAGATAAGATGTCTTCTAAATTCAATATGCCTCTGTTTTCCATTCCAGGATGAACCCTATTCAATCAAGCTTCTGGGCCGCGCCTGGCATAATATCGTGTACATGAGGGGCTGGGACGAGTTAATGCCGGGTGCTGAATCTCTAAGAGCTGAGGTGGAAGAAGATGAAGAAGAAGGTCTGGGTTCTAATCGTCTATTTATCACCATAGTCAATAGTATCACTATTGTGGAAGCGTGTATGGCCGAGCGGCTAACACCTCGAACTTCAGATCTGGAGGTCCGGGGTTTTTAAAACCCTCGCCCGTCGCGTTGCTTCCTTAGACAAGTAACTTTACTCCACTTTGTCTCTTCACTCAAGTACCGGCGACATACTGCTGAGGGCAACCCTGCGATGGACTAACATACCGTCCAGGGGGGAGTAGTAGACTACCAGTAGTCCCCCATTTTTCCTCAGGGATAGTAGAGCGAGCGAAACGCGAGCGCGCGTGAAAATCACCCATTTTTCTCTCTCCCTGCCGCCTGTCGCCTTTTCTCGCGTGGGGTGATTTTCACGCGCGCTCGCGTTTCGCTCGCTCTACTATCCCTGAGGAAAAATAGGGGACTACTCGTAGTCTAGGGGAGTAGCAATACTCCTAGGAATGCTTCGTGCTAAGGAAACCGGAATAAACTCCGGCCGTTTTAGCCTTTAGCTCGTGTGCGCCTTTACCTTTTTTTATCACTTTAGTCACTATGTTTATCAAGAAACACGTTGCGAAACAAAACAAGGGTGTCAACAACGTCGTTTGGAGAACACCTCAAGTGTTCAGATCCCAGCTTGGATAGCACCTCCTCCTCGATCCGTGCGAGAGAAGATGATATGTTTAAGAGAAGAGTCAGGGAGGCCATCGAAATATTTCATCGAGCTCAAACATTAAACAGGGACGCCGGTTACGAGCTTCCCGCGATCTACCGGGACGTTTCGTCACGTGATTCACAGTATAAATCACGTGACAATCTGTCCAACTCCATCACTTGATAAAGATGCCGCGATGGAATCGAAAGCTTGCGTATGCTAATACGTTTTCTTACCTTGGGTACCAGCTGACACACAGTAAGTCTCTGGTACCCAGAGTAACGTTTTCCATCCTTGGGATATGAAACCTTATTTACTATCACTTTAGTGACGAGGACGACTACGAGAACGAGATTTTGTGCACGCGCTCGAACCAACGTCATTTTGGCGGGAAAATGTGGTAGCCGTCGTCAGTAGGCTTGGGTAAATTCTGCTCGTAAAATGGCTTATTCTGCCTGCCGGCAGTGCCCGTAAAAATCGCTGATTCTGCTCAAAATTCTGCTCGGACACCTTTATTCTGCTCGAATTCTGCTCGGTATCCGAAAAAAATTTTCCAAAAAAAATTTTAATTATTATTAATTGTTGAGGTTTTTTTTCAGACGGAAAAGCAATCCAAAAGGTCGTCCTGTTGACGATGAAGAGTGTTTCAACTCCTGAGGGTTTTGATCCGGCGGAAAGAGCTGTGGAAATCGGCTGCATCAAGTCCAGTATACAAACTAAAAAGGTATGGTGTACTTCTCACATATTCACACACCTCATCCTAAAATTGTGGCTACGATACTTTCTGTTATGTTTATATTAATTAGCCCTCTTTTCCTCGATTGCATCTGCAGAATACCTTTTACCTTGAAATTAGGCATTGAAGGCCAATTATCATGAGGGCAAAAGAATAACTAAATTTGCCCCTCATTTTAGAATAACGCGTTTTGTTGATTCCGCGCGCGTTGTTTCAGGTTAAGCACCAGGCGACAAAGAACTTTCAGGAACGAACCTCTTGTTCTTTTGTCATAAAACAGTCTTAATGAACTGAGTTTACGACCATAACTCTTGAGTTATTTGCTCATGTTTAGTTTCAGTTTCGGTTTAGCTTCTGCTTAGTTTATCTTATGTTAACGATTTCTTCCTTGTTTTTAGTCTAGTGACTTTTATTTCGATAATCCTAAAGAAGCAAATGAGAGAGGATTCAGCTTCGAACCTTTGAAGGTTAGTGCCAGTTCTTCTTGTCAAAGCAACTTGTGGGTTGTTTGAGTCCTACTACCGCCGTAGAAATGCTGTCCTTTCGCTTGTGTTTGTTACTTTTAACACGATCCCTACTTCAAAGAATTTCAATATAATCAAAATTGTAGAAAATCAGAAAACCAAAATTTACTACTGTTTTCTACACTATCTGTTTGGGACGCATTTGATAATCTCAGCAAACATTTTGCATAAATATTAAAACAATCATTGAATTCGGCTGTCGTATGATCTGAAGAATTATGCAGATCCCCTCGATCTAATTCTTCACGTCCTACTCAGCGTCATTCAGTAATTGCTTCTTATATAATCGTATGTTTCTCTCTGTTGTAGGCGGGAGTAGATATCGGCGTTAAGAAGAATATCGTGTTTCGATGGCAACCCCCACCAGGACACGACGTAAGTGTTGAAGTCTTTTTAGTCGTGAAATTTCTCCCCCGGGGGGTGGGATACTTCCCTATAAGAGGCTAATGGGGATGTGCCGCTGGATGGGGTCGCATTTTCAATAGAGTTACTAGAATGGGGTCGCACATTTGCTGAGTTTTGGGATAAGACAGTTCTTCATATTTACGGTTAGCAAACGTACCAGAATGTTTGTACTGTAGGTGAAAAGTAAAGTGTTCTTCATTCTATATAAGGTAGTTACATAAATAGAAAGTGACTAAGTTGGGTTTGCGAAAATTACATATTTGTCCAAAAGTGACTAAGATGGGGTCTATAATTGGCCACAGAATAGACTATAATGGGTTAGGGGCTCTGAAAGGCCAGCCGCACATACCCAGCAAAAATTAACCCAAGTACCCCTCCCCGTGAAATTTCTCCAGTACAGGGTATGATTCTGCGGTTGTATTTCTTATGCTCTGTTAAATAGCAGACGAGGAATAAGAAATAATGCCATCGTCAATCTTTCTAAGCAACGAGGCACATCATTGTAAACTGTATCATAACCAAGCGAGGTATATCATAAACTGTATCATAACAAATTGGTGTTACAACGTTCTGTTCTAGTTCCAGTTCAAGTTCTTTCGTTCAAGTTCTTTCGACACTTGAATGATAAAAAATCAAAATCAGTGTAAAAAGGAGAAGAATCTTGGAGGCACAGAAGTTTTGCGGTTTGGGAAAAATGTACCAACTTTCAGGATTTTATATGAAGGTCTGCCTGTATGAAGATCAAGCGTTCACAATTTAACACTCTTCGGTGGTTGAGTTAAGACCGCAGACATCCAAGATCACTCTTCTCGTGAGCTTGGTGGACCTTTTGTAAGAGTAACATTTTAACCCCCTCCCCATTCTCTCTCTGCATTTTGAAATAAACTCACGAACATTCACCAGCCTAACAGTAGAATTGTGTTTTTCTTCCCCAGCCTAATGAACCTGTTAACACGAGCACAATGGTGAGTATTTTGTGATATAGCATGCGTAGCCGGCGAGGTCGTTATTTAGGGCGGCAAAGTTTTGGCAGAGGAGCTGCGAAGCCGTGCGGAGAATGGGGAGGAGACTCTTTAAAATCCATCGGCGCTCACTTCTCGCGGCCCAAAACTGTCACTTGCGCGAAAACAATATCCGCCAGTTACGCGGACTGTGTGGTCGCTGCGTTTTTACTTCGTATACTCTAAAAATTGCATTTTCCAACTTTTACATCGACATTACTCCAGTCGCTAAGTTAATTTATTGTCTTAAGGGCATCATGTTCCGAGTTCGTTCCAATAACCCTCACCTTCAAATGTAGGCCACATACGAAACTTTTCACGTGAAAGTTAACTTTATTTGCTCAAAAATAAAAGGATATTTTCCATCAAACTTTGCACTTCATACTTCGTTTTGAAAAAGGGGCCAGAGACAACTCGAAAATGGTCTGTTAGTTGCTAACTGGTCTCCATTCTTCTCTGTTGAATGTCTGCTGAATATATCGCGCGCAGTATTCAGCAGAGGCGACGGGGGACCAGACAGAATTTTGGATGAGGGAAGGAGGAAAAGCTGAGCGAAACCGATTGTTTAAAAATGTTAATACGTGTCTCGTAAGTAAGTTTGTCACTACTATAACCTTACACACAAACATCAGCTTACTGCTTGCATGAAAAGTAGTAATCTCTTGTAATCTCTGTACAGTTGACAGTCAAGAGTGACGTCACCACTCAGTACAAGATCCTGCTGCAAGGACTGATTACCACGGAACCTAAAGACCCGGATGCTCCTGGTCACGTGGTCGAAGTCGAAGAAACGTGAATTTTTTCGTCTACAAGTAGTTGTCTATTTCATATGGCTCTGAGCAGCTTATCTGCGATGTATAAAGCAGAGAGAGAGTATATTGTGATTTTGAGTACGTTTTATGAAATACCGGCTTGAACTTGTAAAGGAATTCTTCTCGGACAAGAAAAAAAACCCGTATTGACAGTACGTGCTCAAAGTTTATGTAAAACTATGCCAAGGTATTTACTCGGAGATTTGTAAAGACTTAACGTGATTTTTATGAATTGCCCTTTTTTGCTTTATCAGTTGCAACTGTAGCTATTTTTGTGAGCTGCATTTTTCGCTTAGCTCAGATTTGTAAAGGATTGCATTCACATCGCCGCGTTTGAATACTTTCGTGTGTTGTCGTATCTGCGTCGTTCACACCAATTATTGATATAATTAAGTGTTGTTTAGGTGAAAACATGTTCTAAAACGGATATCGTGACGACGGGTCGTGTGAAGTTTGATCTTTTGTAGAACTTAGTGCACGACAATAATTTCCGGGTAACCTGAATTTAATTGATTAAAAAAAAATTGAAGGATGTCACTACAAAGCGAAAGTAAACAGCGTTTTTGTTTTATCAATTGGTGTGGACGGTGTGTAAGTGTGTACATAAATAAGAATTAAAGTTACATGTGCTTGCATTTTCTAATCAGTGTAGGCTGGTTTTTGAAGTGCCAAAAATGAACACGACGAACCGCCATTTTCCCCTGTCGCCCATACAATGAGACTTTGAGTACAGTGAAACCCCGCCTTATAGCCACCTCGGTTAATACGGTCACCTCGTTATTACGGCCAAATTTTTTGGCCGCTTGGCAAAAACCGCCATACATTTTCTTGTAAAAAAAAACCTTTCGTTAACACGGCCACCCCGTTGATACGACCAAATTTTTTTGGCCCATTGGTGACGACAGACCGTATTAACGAGGTTCCACTGTAATTTGAACAAGTTGTAAAGCTGCAATCAAATAGTGGAGGGCGTGATTCATAGATGTTAGGTTTTGATAGATAATGAACATAAACATCCAATTTCGACTGGAACATGTTCAAATTTTTCAAAGTACCTCTTAACACTTTTAATATTTTGACCGACTGCAAAGATGTGATAGAAAAGGATACACCGTATCAGCAATCACCGTCTTTATTTAAGCTCAAAGTTTCCAAAGCCCCATAGTACAATAGACTCTTTTAGGAGTCAAATAAAGCCTGAGTTACACCTGGATTGACTAATTTCCGACAGGAATCCCCGTCCCCACCCCCACGGGGTGAAGAGAGGTAAACTGGATCGAAGTTTCTGGAAGCAAAGCGATGGCGCGCAGGGTTTGAAACCGGAGATATGCATATCCCTGAGGGTATTTTGGACGTGTCAACCTCTTGCATTGGTAAACACGCCCCCACACATTAGGTCCCTGGTGGTCCGTTATTTACAATTTAAAATGACCCAAACCTTCCGCAGTCTAAGCTGGGAAAAATATTGGTAATACGACGATCTAAAAGCTCTACCTAAAGACGTACATTAGCGGAATCTTTGGAGATAACCTTTTCCGGTTATGCCCAAGCCTTAAGCTGTTAAATTTTTTATTTTGCATCAAAAATTGTTTTACAAAAGTAAATGGGTGAAATAAAAAACAGAAGTGTTTGAGAGCTAATTTGGAAAGCCCAAACACGCGGGGATCACGTTTTCCAGCCTGTTTCACGTCACTACCCGAAATATCGTCTTTGCCATATAGTCTTAGGAGGAAGTCGGCTTTGCCTATCGTCAAAGTTGAAAGGTATACTACTATTGATGTGAAAAACATGATAACCTTGACCACATTTTGAATGCCTGGATTTGGGGTTTACCTTGGTGTTTAGAACACTGGAACTTTTTCTTTGTCTCGCACCTTTTGTTTTTCTAGGTTCTATTGTTTTGACTTCTTTGTTTTCTTTGTTTCACGTCACCAGTGAGTTTTAACAAGTTCTTACTTACCGAGGATGAGCTCAACTTTGTGCCGCACTTGAATGCAAGATAAAATAATCAAACGAAAGTTTTTCTTCCTGTGCGCGCTTCCGTTTTCTGGTTGAAACAGTCAAACTCGTCTCCTGCGCTCTTCCCACATTTCAACGGGACGAGTTTCTACGTCAGTTGGAAGCCGGTTGTTCTTTACAGTGCTTGTGACGCTACGTCATAAGGCTCAGGTACGTAGTAGGGGTGGGGCAGGGAGGCCTTAGACCCTCTCCCAAAAAATTGTTATATTCGAACCGGACGAACGTCTTCAAGGTACACTTCTAAACACCAGTAACCAAACAATTTTTTTTGAGGGCATGATAATTTCTGAGGATATCTTGAAGTTCCTTTTAACGTGTCCAGTTGAGATTTTCAGTTCTTATCACAATTTAGCCTGCGCGCAGACACTTTAAACCTTGTTTATAGGACTATATCCACACTATATGCGATACGTGGGCCGGCTGCACCGCAGGCTAATCACAATGTGCAGTAGACAACTTCTTTAAAGGTATAAACTGTGGACAGGAGTCAATTTTCCCTACCTTATTTGGACTAAAAAGATTTTCAGCTGGGCCCAGTTGTTCAAAGGCCAATTAGTGTTTATCCCGGGGTTAAATTTTGATCCTGGTGTCTTGTGTTTTATTTCGTTCAAAAACACTTTCTCAGATAATTTCTCTACTCTTGTGAAAGCATCCAATCATCAAATTGAAGACAAAAATAATTAATTAAAACTGAATTTGCCTTTTTGTTTCACAAATTTCACACTAACCCTGGGTTACTCTTAACCTAAGTTCGAACAACCCGGACCTAAGTTGTACCGATTGAGCTCTAACTTCTCTAAAATTAGGAAGTAAGTCTTTTCAATGTTCTTAACTGATACTATTAAGTTTCTTAGAGATATTTTATCGTGATCTTAGCCTTTCTCGATCTTTCCAGGCGTTTTCAATGCACCACAGGTTTCCCAAGTTTTCCTTAGACGCGGCACAGGCTGTTAATCCCTGCGGGATTATTTATGCTGTACGTGACTGATCGCGTCAGTTTCTCAAAAAATGTTGCGAAATATCGTATGAATAATGCTTTGTATTTTAATGTAAACATATACACATATGAAACAAAGAGAACTGCGAGGAAAGGCGCGGTAAAGAGGAATTTTAAAGCCTCCAAACGAAAAGCAAGGAGCAAGAAGTCACTGAGGTAAGGGACGATTTTTTTGAAACTGAGCTTTAAATTTTTGCATGCTGTTGTATCGATCCAGGTTGGCTGGGTGGATGCAGCTTGTTTTAGCAAAATTAACAAATGACATATAGCTCAAGGGCACCAGGTAATTGTTTGGAGAGGTGTTTACACAAAATGCTGTTGCACTGAGTGGAGAGCATAAAACGTCTATGATTGATTATTAGATCGTTTGCGAAAAACAAATGTTGCGTGCAAAAAGGAATACACTTTCGTCGATGCAAATATTCGGCGTAAAGTTTCCTCTGCCAGCAATTAAGGATGCTGTCATTGCAATATTTCACGGCGTACCCCGTAGAAAAGAAGTTTGTCTAGGAAACGGTTTCCACCGTTGCTTGCCAATATTTTACAGAACTGAGAAATAAAAGTTTACTCCATAAATTCCATAAAAAAGAACAATAAATTGATTAAAAAGGAGAACATGAAACTGTACCCGTTTGGCATTGTGCAAAACTAGTAAGACCTTTACTGAGGCAATGCTTTCACTTATGAGCTTCTGAAAATCCATAAAATCCCCTGGAAGCTACCGAGCAGTCATTCAGTTATAGCTCCTTAAACGCTTCCACTTTTGTGGACTTCAGTTTAATCCTCAATCAGTCAGGTAACCATTCAAATGAAACGCTTTGATCAGGAAGTGCTGACTGTTCATCACTAGTGTGTTTCCTTTGTCTACTGTTTCAGTGACATTCTATGGATAAACTCTTTAAGTATAGCCTATAAAAGTGTGATAAAATGAAAGTTTTTAGAATAGGGTTGCTTCCGTTTATAATGCTGCGCTGTAAGATAATTTGCCAGTGGATTACAGTCCGCATGCCTGAGAGTCGATCGGTTGAACCGGTTAACCGGTGTGACTATTCATAGAATTAAACTTTTGTATTTAGGGTTTTTTTTTCTTCCTCTTTTTCCTTTATTTCCTTTTTTTTTCTGTTTCTATTTTACAACATAGAATGTTTAATAGAATTGAAATTTTGCCCCGGGGATTTTGTCCACATTTCACTGAAGTACGGGATGATTGATAGTTTAACATTATCCAAAATTTTAAAATATTATTTCGCTATCTCAAGAACAAAACACCGTAATGCAATTTCCTTTCCGCTACAAATGCTATCTGTTACAAGATAAGTACCATTCCCGGCCGCACGGCGCCGTGGGTTTGGTGACATATCCAGCTACGAACAGCGGATGTAAATTTTTAAGAGGGTGCAACGAATAGCAACTGTCAGTGAAGCTTTTGCCATTCCTGTCTCTCAGGCAACCAGTGTTCATGGAAACGTGGGGATACTAAACAAACACATCTTCCTAATGATTTACGCTGATTGGTCGCCGAACAATATCAGTCAAACAACGATCAATTGTATGTATAGCACCAAAAAACTAACACTAGCTCGTGCAAGACAATATAATCCACACGCGAAGCTCGATAACTTTGAGAATGATTGATGGACTTGGTTTATGTTCATGCGACATGATAGCAGAACTCTTCGTCCGAGACTCAGTGTTTTTTAAGGAACGATGACGTCAATCGCCGCTGGGAATGATCCGCGCTCAATGCAGCAGGCATGTGGAGGTCACGCTGCCGACTCATTCCTTCACGATCATGCGCTTCATTCACGGTGTGACACAAGATACGAAATTAAAAAAAACCCTCGATATTTGACTAGCCTCCAGAAGGCGGCCCGGATTGCGCAATGTTCGTAAAATTCTTTTCATGGTAATCTAAATCGGTGGATTAATTTT